TATATATATATATATGCAGACAGATACTAATCATTTACAAAAAAGTTTTTTAAAAATAAATCTATCAAGACGAGGATTTAATTTTATACGTAACACAACTTCCGTTAAAGAATGTTTGTGTTTGAACGTGTGTGTTTTTAGAATGTTTTGATACTTCATTATCGGCAAAGTTATATACAAGTTATATAGTCATGTAGATTAGTAATATTATTTGACAACGATTATCCGCGCATTAATAATATTTTAATTACATTAATTTATCAATTTAGTTGAGGATGAATACAAGAATGATAAAGAATGAGTCTCTTCAATAATTACCTTCGAGCTTAAGTAAATTATACAACAAAAAGTTATGCTAACATCCAATAGTTGTTTAGCATTCAATAGTTGTTTATTTGTGAACGCTGTACATTCAGTATAGCGTAGATAAACAACTATTGAAATGCTACACTCCTCAATTGTAAAGAAGAAAAAGACTCATCCTACTACATATATATTGGACACATTTATTCAAACATATATGTTTGCACAGGGAAATCAATGTAACTCGCTGAAGCTGGTGGCTTGAATGGAGATGAAACGTAAGAAGAAAAAAAATTGTTGTAACACATAAGAAGAACAAATATAAATTATTTTGTCAATTTGGCGCATAATTGTTTACTGTCACTTGACCATTATACATGCAGTTGTATTGTTAGTATAATATAATTGTTAGTATAATATATCTTGTCTTAGTTCCTCACTGGATCTAAATATATAAAAGTCATATTAAAGAATCTTGTAACAGTTACAAAGTTTTTTCTGCTGAACAAGCCATTATATCATAATTGAAAACTATATGTATTTGATAAAAACTGCGAAAATTGATATTTTCTTTTGTGAATTGCTGCGAAGACTCAAGAAACATCTTAAATATGCGAGTTTAAGAAATAATTCAATATGATTTGTCAAGAAAGAACATTGAAGATATAAGAAGATTAGGTACGATGCATTAGAAAATAAATAAAAATATGTGCATGTGTGCTACTATGAAGAATGCAATTATAACTAACATTTTTTGCGAAGAGCTTTTAAACATAGGAGAGTTAATTAATTCACAGCTTTTATCGAAATCGAGAATAGCATTTTGCAAAATTTATAGTTTTTGTTATATTCTATATATTATTACATCTATTATTCTATATATTATTACATCTATTAACCATTTTTTTTCGCACACAGTGATGAATCAATGGCGATAAACAATGCTAAAACATGCGATATATATATATATATATATACGTATAAATAATGCGTACTTGTTACGATCTTTCTTCCGTCCGTGTCAAAATTTCAGATTCTCGAAGTGGAAAGATTCTCATCGTACAAAGAGAAAAAAAAAGAGAAATGTATTAAAGGAGACTAAGCATGAAACGACGGTGGAAA